TGTGACCTCAGCTCCCTAGCCGGCCCTACTCTACCCCAGCCTACCCCTGTTCTCCTACATGTCCACCTTATCATTCTCTGTCTTCAACCTACCACCTCTCCATTTCAAAGGACACCTTCCTAGCCGGCCCGCCCTAGCTCCCTGTCATACTGCGCCTGCCCCACCTTCACCTCGCCCCCAGCCCTACCCTCCCCCTCCCCCAGCCCCACCCTCCCTACGCCCCCAGCCCCACCCACCCTACCCTCTGTACTGATGTCGTGGGACGTTGCTATGTCTGCAGGGAGACTGGTCGGTCTGTCTCAAGAGCCCGATGGACTGACGGTGCAGATAGAGGTCGCTAGCGTCGACTGCACCAGCTGGAACGACACGATACTGTCGCAGTCACAGCGCGGGAACGAACTGTTCCTCAGACGTACGTGCTCCACGCTATGCTGCTGCCATCTATCGGCGCTGGTTACTACTAACGACTCCACACATTCTAGCAGCAGCAACCGATAGCAATTGTACTTTCACCACAACGAGATTATATATATATATATATATATATATATATATATATATGTAGCCTAATATAGGCGTGCCAAACAGTGAGTATACTGCATGATGTGTAACTCGTCTATCCTGTGTTGTTGCTATAGACGCGCCATTTGCTTTTGCCGACGGTTCGACTAGAACTCCTATTAAGGGCAGCGTTACTGACTACCCAATAGAATGCAACGTCCTAGCTCAGCCTGCCGATGTAGACGCCATCTTGTGGTACAGAAACGGAGAGCAGCTAGCAACGAACGACGCCAATAAATACGCGTGAGTTTATATATATATGTATATCATGCATGTATACATGTACACAGATGTCTATATCTGACTGAACCTTATCCATAAACTGTCAACCTTAAATTTCTAATGTAAAGTTAGAACCTACCTAATGCAACTTAGATCTGGAATCTACTAGACATCATAGAGAACGCTTCCTGAAGTAGTTGTCGTAAGATTATGCCCTCCGCGCTAACTCGTCAATCAGTACGTACCTCCCACCCTTCATCGGTCAGCATGCTCCCACCTCCGCGCTAACTCGTCAATCAGTACGTACCTCCCACCCTTCATCGGTCAGCATGCTCCCACCTCCTCGCTAACTCGTCAATCAGTACGTACCTCCCACCCTTCATCGGTCAGCATGCTTCCACCTCTTCGCTAACTCGTCAATCAGTACGTACCTCCCACCCTTCATCGGTCAGCATGCTCCCACCTCCTCGCTAACTCGTCAATCAGTACGTACCTCTCCACCCTTCATCGCTCTCTGTCAACATGCTCCCACCTCCTTCGCTAACTCGTCAATCAGTACGTATCCTCCCACCCCTTCATCGGTCAGCATGGCTTCCACCTCCGCGTCTAAATCTCGTCAATCTCAGTATGCTTACCTCCCACCCTTCTATTCGGTCAGCATGCTTTCCACCTCCTGCGCTAACTCGTCAATCATTACGTACCTTCCCACCCTTCATCCGGTCAGGCATGCCCCACCTTCGCGCTAACTCGTTCAATCAGTTACGTACCTCCCACCTTTCATCGTTCAGCATTGCTCCCACCTCGCGCTAACTCGTCTCTGAATCAGATACGTTAACCTTCCCACCTTCATCGGTCAGCATGCTTCCACCTCCTCGCTAACTCGTCAATCAAGTATGTACCTCCCACCCTTCTATCTCTATGCTCCCACCGGCCTCGCCTAAGTCGTCAATCAGCTACGTACCTCCTACCCTTCATATCGGTCCGCATGCTCCCAACCTCTCGCCTAACTCGTCAATCAGTATGTAACCTCCATACCCTTTCATCGCGTCAGCATGCTTCCACCTCCGCGCTAACTCGTTCATCTTTCCTTCCCTACCCTTCATCGGTCAGCAATGCTCCCACGCTCCTCGTAACTCGTCAATCAGTACGTACCTCCCACCTTCATTCGCGTCAGCATGTTCCCACCTCCTTCCGCTAACTCGTCATCAGTACGTAGCCTCCCACCCTTCATCGGTCAGCATTGCCCCTCCACCTCAATCGCTAACTCGTCGATTAGTACGTTACCTCTCACCCTTCATCGCCGTCAGCATTGCTCCCACTCCTCGCTAATCTCGTCAATTCAGTACGTACCTCCACCCTTCATCGGTCAGCATGCTCTCCCATCCTCCGCTCGCTTAACTCGCTCAATCAGTACGTTACCTCCCACCCTTTCATCGGTCAGCATGCCTCCCACCTTCATCGCTAACTCGTCGATTAGCTAACGTACCTCTCACCCTTCATCTCGGTCAGCATGCTCTCCACCTCTCTGCTAACTCGTCAATAGTACGCTACCTTCTTCATCTTGGTCAGCATGCTCCCACCTCTCTCGCTAACTCGTTATCAGTATGTGTAGCGTCCTTTCATCGGCTCAGCTATTGCTTTCCACCTCCTCGCTACACTTTCGTCAATCAGTACGGTACCTCCCACCTTTCATCGCGTCAGCATGCTCCCACCTCGCCCTAACTCGTCAATCGCAGTACGTACCTCCCACCCTTCATCGGTCAGCATGCTCTCCCACCTTCGCCGCTGCACTAACTCGCTCAATCAGTACGTACCTTCCCACCCTTCATCCGGTCAGCATGCTCTCACCTTCCTCGCTTAACTCTGTCAATTCAGTACGTGAGTTTTCCTTCATCGGTCAGCACTGCTTCCACACTCCGCGACTAACTCGTCATTTATCAGTACGCTACCTCCCACCCTTCATCGGTCAGGCATGCTCTCACCTCCTCGCTAACTCGTTAATCAGTCTGTACCTCCCACCTTCCATCGTCAAGTCCATGCTCCTACCTTCCTCGCCCTAACTCTCTACAATCAGACGCTACCTCCCACCCTTCACTCGTGGTCAAGGCATATCTTCCACCTCCTCGCCTAACTCGTCAATCCAGTACTGTTACCTCCCACTCTCTTTATTGAGTCAAGCATGGCTTCCACCTCGCGCCGCTAACTCGTCATTATCAGTATTGTACCTCCCACCCCTTCATCTGGTCAGCATGCTTGCCACCTCCGCGTCGTGGTACCTCCCACCCTTCATCGAGTTCAGCATGCCTCCCACTTTTTTCAATCAATTACGTACCTCCCACCTTTGCATCGCGATCAGCATGCTCCCAACCTCCGTTCTCGCATAACTCTCAATCAGTACGTTTACCTCCTCACCTTTCATCACAAAAAAAATACACGAACAAAAATACACATAAAACCATTCTCCAATACAAACCAATAAATAAATACAATACAGTTAAAAATGACATCAATATAACAACACCAAATAATCCAAGAAAAGCAGCAAATAATACCACACAACATACACACAGACGACTATATCGAATATAAAGATAAAAATATAAATATATATAAAACCCAGCATGCTCCACCTCGCGCCTAATCTCTGTCAATCAGGACTAGCTCCCACCTCTATGTCAGCTTGCTCCCACCTCCGCTGTTCCTAACTTGCGTTCAATCAGTTAGCGATACTCCCACCCTTCATTCAGTCAGCATCTCCCACCTCCTCGTATCGTCAATCAGCTTACGTACCCTCTCACCCTTCATCGGCAGCATGCTTCTCACCTTCCTCGCTAACTCGTCAATTCAGTAGTTACCTCCCAACCCTTCATCGTGTTCAGCATGCTCCCACCTCCTCGCTAAGTTCGCTCAATCAGTATGTACCTCCTACCCTCTTCATCGCGCAGCTTGCTCCCAACTCTCCTCGCTAACTCGTCAATCCAGTACTGTACCTCTCACCCTCATCGCCGCAGCCATGCTTCCACCTCCTCGCTAACTCGTCAATCAGTATGTATCCTCCCACCCTCATCCGGTCAGCATGCCTCCCACCTCCTCGCTAACTCGTCAATCAGTTATGTACCTCCTTACCCTTCATTCGTCAGGCATCGCTCCACCTCCTCGCTAACTCGTCAAATCAGTACGTTGGCAGCATGCTTTCCGACCTCCTCGCTAACTCGATCAATCAGTATGCTACTCCCTGACGGCCTATCGTCAGCGGAGTGCTCCCACCTCCTCCCGTTAACCTCGTCAATCAGTATGACTCCCACCCGGCTATAGCGGTCAGCATGCTCCACTCCTCGTCTAGACTGCGTCCATTCAGTTATTTGTTACCTCCCACCCTTCATCGTGTCAGCATGCTTTTCCACCTTCTGCGCGGCTACTGCGTCAGATCGAGTACGTACCTCCCACCATGCTTCATCGCCGTACAGGCGAGCCTGCGGCTAAGCCTGCCGGCGTGCGCTAACTCGTCAGATGCAGGTACGGTACCTCGCCACGTTTCATCGGTCAGCATGCCACCACCTCTCCGGCGCCTAACTCGTCAATCAGTACGTTATGGTGCCTCCCACCTTTCACGTCGAGTCGATGGCTTCCCACCTCCGCGCTAACTCGTCAATCAGTACGTACCTCCCACCCTTCATCGGTCCGCATGCTTCCACCTCCGCGCTAACTCGTCAATCAGTATGTACCTCCCACCCTTCATCGGTCAGCATGCTCCCATCTCCTCGCTAACTCGTCAATCAGCACGTACCTCCCACCCTTCATCGGTCAGCATGCTCCCACCTTCGCGCTAACTCGTCAATCAGTACGTACCTCCCACCCTTCATCTGTCATCATGCTCCCACCTCCTCTGTACACTCACGTGTGTCTCTATCTGCGGATTAACTCCTTGCTTATTCTGTTTAATCTCTACAGGGGCGAATCGGTGGCTAATCCAACGTTAATCTTGAGAACTATCACCGTCTCAGACTCAGGAGCTTACCAGTGTCGCGCTCACAACTCCGTCGGCTGGGGACCCCTCAGCCTCCCGTTCTCACTCAGCGTACAATGTAAGCATTCCGTAACCATGACAACGTCGTCGGCTGGGGTCCCCTCAGCCTCCCGTTCTCACGCAGCGTACAATGTAAGCATCCCATAACCATGACAACACTGCTGGCTGGGGACCGATGCAACAATGGCAACGTGCTAACACCCATTAACAATATGCTACTACCGCTGCTACTGCTGCTGCGGCTGCTACTACTACTGATATTGCTGCTGTTGCTGTTGCCATTGCTTCTGCTGCTACTGCTGCTGCAGCTGCTGCTACTACTACTGCTATTGCTGCTGTTGATGTTGCCATTGCTTCTGCTGCTACTGCTGCTGCTGCGGCTGCTACTACTACTGCTATTGCTGCTATTGCTGTTGCTATTGCTTCTGCTGCTACTGCTGCTGCGGTTGGTACTACTACTGCTATTGCTGCTATTGCTGTTGCCATTGCTTCTGCTGCTACTGCTGCTGCGGTTGGTACTACTACTGCTATTGCTGCTATTGCTGTTGCCATTGCTTCTGCTGCTACTGCTGCTGCGGCTGCTACTACTACTGCGATTGCTGCTATTGCTGTTGCCATTGCTTCTGCTGCTACTGCTGCCGCGGTTGCTACTACTACTGCTATTGCTGCTATTGCTGATGCCATTGCTTCTGCTGCTACTGTTGCTGCGGTTGCTACTACTACTGCTATTGCTGCTATTGCTGTTGCCATTGCTTCTGCTGCTACTGCTACTTTGTGCTCTGTTTGCTGGATGTAGAATTAGAGGGTCTGAGATTCTCCTTGTTACATCCATGGGTAAGTTAGCGTAGCAGCCTGCTGATACACGGCTACATGAGCGCACGCAGTAACAGTGCCTTTCATCTAACGACAGATACACCAATAGCACGCATCCCACGCAGCATGGACACGGTGCAGCCTGGCGCCCCATACCGGATACAGTGCATCATCACTGCTGATCCTAGCGACATTCTGCAGGTCGAATGGCTGCGAGATAATGAAGTCGTAGAAACCGGTTAGTGCTGCCACCTGGCCGTCACCTCTAAGCTGAGCTCTAGCGTTACAAGCCTAGCTATTAACTCCCATTCTATAACCAATATAAGCACAATCGTCGAACACCAATCACTAACTCACATCTATTAATGACACTTACTAAATTACTGCTGACATTGCTTCCTATCACGTGACCCTTCTCAGCATCTTTTTCTACTATTAGCATCCCGTCCCTCATCCTCTGCCTTGCCTCCTCCTGCCTCATCACCATTCTTCTTCCTTTTTTCTTCTCCTTCTCCTTCTCTCTCTCTTTTCCTCCAATATCTTTTTTTTCCTCAGCATCATCCTCCTCTCTTAGCTGGTCCTCTTCTTTCTCCTTCTTCTTCACCCTCATGATTGGAAGTCATTCATCCAGTAGTCTCTCTCTCTCTCTCTCTCGCTCTCTCTCTCTCTCCCCTCTCTCTCTCTCTCTCTTCCCCTCCTTCTCTCTCTCCCCTCTCTTCCTCTCTCTCTCTCTCTCTCCCCCTCCCCCTATCTCTCTCTCCCCCTCTCTCTCTCCTTCTCTCTCTGTCTCTCTCTCTTTGTCTCGGGTCGTCATCCTCCTGTATTGCGTGTGCAGGTGGTGTAGTTTACGGGAGGTATTGCGCCAGACCAGGGCTGATCTTACAGACGACGACTCAGGCGCACGCAGGCAGCTACCGATGTCGCGCCCGTAACGCCATCGGATTGGCGACGCGAGCCCTCCGTTCCAACTCGTCCGTGCAGCAAGTTGCAGGTGAGCGCCTTCTATCGGGCCGCAATACGAATCTGCCACATGCTCAGAGGAGGCAGGCAACTGCTGTTACTACCTGCGTGCAAACTTCCTTGCCGTCGGAATTATAGTTCTAATGCTGCTCACGGTTACTTATGCGAACCCACTGGTGGGTACACTGTCGTTGTAGAACACCATCTTACTCTTCTCATTTGAGCCGTATAAACCGTATAATTATTATATATATATTCGAGAGAGCATCAAGTACGGAAAAACACCTACGGTGTCTTTTAGGCCAAGTATCTGTTCTGTAAAGTTGTTTTAATCTATAACAAACAACCTCAACAAGGAACGTCGAAAGTGCCGTAATAGGACAGCGTGACGTTCTGTCTCTCACGCAGGCGAGCCGCGGTAGGTCGACATCGTGACGATAGAAGCTCACAAGAACGAACCCGTAGATCTGGTCTGTGAAGTCGACAGCCCCACCTCCGGGGTTACCCACAGCACGCACCGCATGCGCGCGCACGCGCACCACTCGCTCGCACGCACGTACGCCACGCACGCACGCACGCACGAACGCACGCACGCACATACACACACACACATGTACCAAACACACACCACACACACACACACCACACACACACACACACGCACACCCACACACCACGCACGCACGCACGCATGCACACACACACACGCGGCACACAACACATGCACACACACACACACACACACACACACACACACACACACACACACACACACACACACACATACACAACACAAACACGCCCACACCTGCGCGTACACACACTCATCACACACACAGGTATACCACTTCAAAGCTATGATTGTAAACTCGAGCGCATGTATTAACTGGTATTAATAGCTGATGACACTGAGTGATAGTTCAAATGTGCTTCAGTTAATCAACACCTACCGAACTGCACCTTTGAATGTCATCATTTAAAATTAACATAATTATGCGGACAGTTGCTGTCCCTCGTCAACTTGGTTTTGTGTTCAGCTCCAGTTTAGTTGGAATCTAGATGGCTGAGTGTTTTCGTCGAGCGCAACACCAGCGCGGACGCGCAGTGTGCTACTGCGTGGTCCCGCAGTCGATCGCCTGATTTTGGGACGTACCATTGTGGGTCGTTCGTAGGGGGGACGATAGCAACCTCTAACTAGCACTGCCAGGTTATGCTACGTGACAGTGATGCAGCGTAAGGGACTGGCGTTGTTCTTATTGCTGCCGTCGTTGTTGATCGTCGTCGTCGTTCGGTCGTCGTTGTTGTTGGTGCCTGTTCTTGTCGTCGTTGTTGTTGTTTGCTGCTGGTGGTGATGGTAGTGGTTGTTGTTGTTTAAGTTGCTCAATTTTATTCCAAATTCTGTTTTATGCTCCGGTCAATTTTAATTATACGTCTGTTTTTGATATCATATCTTATCTATTTATCTACTACATCTGTCTAATCGTTGACAGAGTCGTTTCTGTCCGACTCTGCCGTGAC